GGTTTAAGAAATAAGGCCTTAACTTTCGAGCAGTCACGACCACATCCAGAGCACACTTCTCAATCTCAGAATACCTCGTCTCTGCTCCTTGCATTACCCTACTCACATAGTAGATATTGAGTTGCGCTGTTCCTTCCTCCCGCAACAATACCGAACTTACAGCTCTCTCCCCGATAGAAATGTATAGCACCAGCTCTTCTCCCTGCATGGGTTTGGCCAATAAAGGGAGGTTGGCCAGCACCCCTAGTAGCTCCTCAAATGCTTTTTGCGCCTCCTCCGTCCATTGGAATTTCGCGCTCTTCTTCAGGGTTTTGAATAATGGGCCACTCTTCTCCGCCACCTTCGATATGAAACGACTCAGCCCCGCAATTCGACCGGCTAAAATCTGCACCTCTTTTACGTTTGTTAGTGACTTCATTTCCATCACATCTCGAACCTTCTCCGGATTGACTTCAATACCCCTCTTGGTCACCAGATAGCCCAAAAATTTGCCCGACCTCACCCCGAAAGAGCACTTGGCCGGATTCAGTTTCATCCCGTACCTCCGCAACGTTAAGAATGTTTCTTTCAAATCTCGCACATGATCCAATTCCTCTTTACTCTTCACCAACATATCATCCACATATACCTCCATATTCCTTCCCAGTTGCTCCTTAAAAATTTTATCGACCAACCTTTGATACGTGGCACCCGCATTCTTTAAACCGAACGGCATGACCACGTAACAATAGGTCCCTCGACTCGTCACGAAACTCACCCGCTTCCTATCCTCTCTAGCCAAGGGAATTTGATGATACCCCTGGGATGCATCCATCAGACTCAGCAACTCGCACCCTGCCGTTGAGTCGACCAGCTGGTCGATTCTGGGCAGCGGATATAGGTCCTTCGGGCACGCCTTGTTCAGGTCACGAAAATCAATGCACATCCTCCATTTTCCTTCCGACTTCGACACCATCACCGTGTTTGATAGCCACTCAGGGAACTGAATCTCCTTAATATGCTCCGCTCCCAACAGTTTCTCGACCTCCTGCTCGATAATCTTGTCCATCTCCGCCCCATGGTGCCTCCTTTTCTGCTTCACCGGCCTCACGCTGAGGTAGATATTTAGTCGATGTTCGATCACCTCCGCACTTATTCTCGTTGACTCTTCTGCTGTATAGGCAAAAGTACCAGCGAACTCCCTTACCAAATCGATCAGCCTCGACCGAATGGGCTCCTCCAGATCCTTCCCGATTCTGAACTTTCTACCCTCGCATCCCTCGATCATCTGAATTTCCTCAACCTCTCCTCCAGGCTGGATGTCCATCTTCTCCTTACCCTTCTCCACCTTTTGCTTCTCCTCCTTCGATCTTGATCCTCCTTGTCGATTGATTTCCTCTCCCTTCAACTCGGCCTGTCTCTTTGCCAATTGTTTGTTATTGCTAACTGTTGTTTGGTAGCAGCTTCTCGAAGTGAGCTGATCCCTGACAATCTCCCCTACGTTTTCGCCCACCGGATATTTGATCGTCATGTGGTACATGGATACGACTGCCTGGAATGCGTTCAAGCTCGTTCGCCCCATGATGATGTTATAGGATGACTCAGCCCCTACCACCACGAATCTCACCATGTGCACCTTCCTCAACTCCCCTGACCCCAGCGCCACGGGCAAACTGACCTTCCCCATCGGCATAACTTCTCCTCCATTAAAGCCGTAAAGCGCCGTGGCTACCGGCTTCAGCTCCATATTGAACTCCTTGTTAATCTGCACGAAACAGTCATAGAACATGACATCCACCGAACTCCCGGTATCAATAAACACCCTCTTCACATCAAAACCCGCGACCTCCGCAGTTATCACCAAAGCGTCATTGTGTGGTAAAACTACCCCCTCAACATCCTCCGCCTTGAAGCTTATTACTGGCATGCGCGTTGTTATCCCCACCTCCTCTCTCTTTCTCTTCACCGCTCGCGCATGCTCCTTCCTCGATCTGTTCGAGTCACCATCTGTTGGCCCCCCAGAAATCATGTAAATCGTTCCTCTCTTCGGTGGGGCCCCTCCTCCTTGCCCTTCTCTATCGCCCTCCTTTCTCGACCTCTTTCCTCGGCCATCCCCTCCATCTCCTTCTCAGTCTCTATCACTCCTCTCTTCGGAATCATCTCTACATCTCCTCCTGCCTTTTCCTCTTACCCTGTCGTGATAGAAAAACTTCTTCAGATATCCTGCCCGAATCAACCTCTCAATCTCATCTTTCAAATGCCTGCAGTTCTCCGTGGTATGGCCGTAATCCTTGTGAAATCGACAATACAAATCCGACCGGGGCCGATGCGGGCCGGTGAACATTGTCATTGGCCAAGTTACGTCCTCGGTCGACATCTTCTGTTCCATGGCCTCGAGCACTTCTGTCATATCTTTCCTCAAAGGAGTAAAGTTGTGATACCTCTGCCTCTCGAACACCATCGGCCTCCTCTGCCATTCATCTCTCTTCTTCCCTTTCGCATCCCCACTCCCTCTTCGAGGAGATGCTCTCCTCCGCTCGCTCCTCTTAGGCCAGTGTAACACCCCACTTTGATTTTAAAGAAATTCCGGACTTTCCAAAAATCAGTATAAAATTTTCGAAACTCATTTTCGAAATCATGGGCGTTATACAACAATAAACATCAACCAAGGCATATTTGGTTGTTCACATAGTTTTCATTAACCTTTCGAAACCCAACTCCACATGAATATTTGCTAAACACTATAGCATGCACATAATATTCAAAAGACAATACCTTTATGAATAACCAAAACCAATCATTTGACCATAAGTTCTCAAATACGTTTTGAAAATAGTTCAAAGCATCTCAATCAAAAGAGGTTCTCAGATACCACATATTATTCATAAACGGAAGCATAATCATAAAAACATAGTAAACCATCGACCCACTCGTCATCCTCCGTCATCCGGCACCTGCTTAACCTGCATTCGTAAAGAGCAGGTGGGAGTGATCACAAGAGGAAAATAGTGCTCACTACTATGCACATGAATAACATATAACCAATGGTACGGTCGCAGCATGAATATAAGATAATCACATATTGTCTCATCTCCTATCATAATCACAACAACCACATTACTCCTGTGCACATCTATCGCTATCCGCAGAACGGGGATTCATTACCCGAAGGCGGGAGTACATGCCACGCTACGGACACGGCCTTCCATATGGGCTTACGTACCTCGCAAGGGCACGGCCATATCAGGACTTACGGAGACTTGCCTCGCAAGGGCAACCGTATTACATTGACGGGGACAACCGTACCGACGGCAGTAACAGCTCACATCGATAGGCTACATATTTCATATTCATACTTAGATCATACCCATAAGTAAAACATTCATCATTCA